AGAGCTGATCCATCACAGGTATCCTCCATCCTGGGATGAAACAGCTACTGTCATCAAGTAGATGAAAAATTACAAAGCCACAGGGCCTGATGGAATCCCAGCTGAGGTACATAAAGCAGGTGGACCTCTACTTACCAGCCATCTCCACTCTCTCCTGGACAATATATGGGAGAAGGAGGAAATCCCTCAAGATCTTTAAGATACCTCCATCGTCAATATTTATAAGAAAGACCGGTCAGATTGCAGCAACTACCGTTGGATCATGCTACTGTCCGTAGCTAGCAAGAGTTACCAAATCCTCCTAAACAGACTTCTTCCTGGGGCAGAAAACTTCCTCCCAGAATCTCAAAGTGGTTTTAAACTATCAAGTGGCACCACTGAGATGATCTTTTCTGCCCGCCAGATACAAGAAAAGTGCAGACAACAGCGTCATCACTTGTACATGGTCTTCATCAACCTTATTCAGGCCTTCGACTCGGTCAACAGGGAATCCCTCAGGCGGACTCTTAATTCATTTTGGTTGCCCACCAAAATTCATCGCCATTGTGAGGCAACTCCACAATGGCTAGAAGGCAGTGTTCTGGCCAATGAGACCCAGTCTGAGTTCTTCCCCTGTGTACTGACACCAACTCTCTTTTCCATTTTCTTGGCTGCCTTCCTTACTCCTGCCAGTGCCAATTTAACCGGCGGGATGGACATCCAGTACTGGATGAAGGGACTTTTCAACATACAACAACTCCAGGCAGGAACAAAGGTGTCAGCCGCTTTCATCACTGAACTTCAGCATGCGGACGACCTTACCCTCATCACTCACACTGAATGCAACCTACAGGTGATCCTGAAAGCCTACGCAGATGTATATGAACATTTCAACCTTGAGGTGAATGTCCGTATGTTTCTCTTCCTCTCTTCCTGGTTCAGCCACACCTCCACCATCCATCCACATTAACAGTACTACCATCTCAGGTGTGCATCTCAAGCTTTGGGCAGACTCCATACCTGTGTCTTCAGCTGTAGGGAGCTGAAATTAACTACAAAGCTGCATGTATATCGAGCAGTGGTCCTCCCCACCCTGCTGTATGGCAGCGAGACATGAGTCATATACAGGAGGTACCTCAAGGCATTTGAAAACTTTCACCAATGTAGTCTACATTCCATCCTCCGAGTTCGCTGGGAAAACAAGAGAACAAATGTCAGTATTCTTGCTGACACCAACTGTAGGAGCATCGAGGCTACCATTATCCATGAACAACTACATTGGACGACGGTAGACTACCAAAGCAGCTAGTACTTTACAGGCGTCTAACGAATAGTAAACGTAACGCTGGCGGGTAACAGAAAAGGTATAAGGTTAAGACAAACCTGAAAAAGTGCCAAATCAACCCCTCACCTGGGAGACGGTCACTCCACACCATAATGCTTGGAGAAATACCACACGAGGTGTCAATACAGTACTTTCAAGTTAGCTCGAGTGCATACTGAGGCAGACACACACCAGCAGCAGAGACGCTTCCACCGCTCCTCTCACACTAGAAGTAACCCTCCACATGTGCAACATCAGTGGTCGCCCAGCCGGTTCCGCACACACACACACACACGTTATAGTTATTAGTACTCACCACTGGATAACAACAAATAATTGAGTTGCTTTGGAGGGAAGAAAGGGAATTACACCCAATACTACTGCACTGAATGGTCCTAAGACATTACTGTTTGTGGCCTAACTCACGACACACAACAACCATCACTATCTTCACTTTCAGAGGTATCTAATCCCTTACCACTCTTACTATCACTATGACTGTGAGCTAAAGCAGACTCAATTTCTCTGTTGCTCTTCAGCACTTGATATGGACAATGAGGCATGATGAGTCGTGATAACAGGTTTTACCAATATTTAAAATTTGAATCACAAAATTCACTAAACTGAAGGAAATATCACCAAATATTTCCAACAATTAAACATACTACAGCATGCCCTTAAAATTCGCGGATTTTTAATTTGCGGATGACACCCTGGATGTAACCAAGAATGTCTACGGGTAGTTTTAAAGTTGCTGGCATTTTCGCGGCCGGGAAAGGGAGCCAATCGTTCTAGAGATAGTAATTTCTTTTACCTACACTGTATATGAGTGTGGGTGTGTATACACACATGTAAAACACATACAGTGGGGTATGCTATAACGAATCTAATTGGTTCTAGAAGAACCTTGTTCGTTATAGCATTCGTTCGTTATAGGATTAATCCGTTCCAGGCCCCCAAATACAACCACTTAACACTGAAAAATATAATATAAAATTGTAAAAATTGTAAAAAAATGCATAAATATGCATCTAAACCCCTGAAATAAAGAATATCATTAATATTTGTAATAAAAAAACAATAAATTAGAAAAAAAAATTTAAATAATGTTCGTTGTAGGAGTTTCGTTCGTTATAGCATTCTCAAATTTATAGGTAAAACCGTTCGTTATAGGAATATTCGCAGTAGGATCCGTTCGTTATAGCATACCCCACTGTACAAATAAATAATAAAGGAAAAATCCTCCCATAAATAATCAGAAACAAGACAACAAAAATGTATTAACAATGTGAGTCTACCCTCAAAGTCACCTCCGTGTTTTATTTTTTCGGGTCTATTTTCTCCAGTTTCTTATGTAGAACCATCGTCATGGATGTAAACACTAACGAAAACAATGCCGTCTCCTCTTCTCTTGTGTGTTTTAATATTCTACGTATTATTAATGAATTGTATCATTCATTTCGCATATATAAAGATAAATTCAATCAAATACATATTGAGTAATAAACAATAATGAATCTTTTGTACATATTCTTAACAAGATAAATGACTTTGTTTCCTTGAACGCACAGGTATACATTGGCGTTCCACTATCAGTCTCACTTTTTTCTTTAACATCAGTGGTTACTTCTACTGTACATTAAATAACATTAATTAAAACATACACATTTTTTTTACATTAATTTTACTACAGCAACAACCAGGATCTTATTATGGGTGTAAACACTGACAACAGCAATGGCGTCCCATCTCCTCTTGTGTGACCCTATTATCACTGATTTATATTGTATAAGGTGCATTCATAACATTATTAAAAGACGATAGTTTGCATTATTCATTAATTTTATTGTTTTGGGGGGAAAAAAGGGTAAAAGGCCACACAAAAGATATGAAAAGGTCAGACTTTGGAAAGCATCTCATTATTTTGCTTTATTTTAGTCATAATTAATGATTCACGATACAGTGACCCCTCGGTTAACGAACTCAATCCGTTCCAGAAGGTCGTTCGTTAACCGAAACCATTGTTTCAATGGGTTTTTGGGTAATTGGTTCCAGCTCACCGAAAATTTCCTAAATTCAACAAAAATGGTAGAAAAGGTGTGTATGTAGAAGGCTCCTGGATGATGATGATGATGATGATGATGATGATGATGGGAATTAGAATGGGGGTGGAGGAGAAGGAAGAAGAGAAGGCATTGGGGTGGAAGAGAAGTCACCCCATGGCACCATTTCACCCATAAAATTTTAGTTCTCTTGGTGTATTTCAAGATTATTTTCTTTAAATCAACACTGCACTGCATTATATATTGTCAATATGTAAAATATATTTCAAAATGACCACTAATTTGCTTGGAAACACAGAAAAAAGCATTTAGTTGAAGAGAGTCTCAAGCAAGATGTTACCTCCACTGAAAAGAGAGAGAGACTAACGCCTGTTTGTATGTTAACAGGCTGGGTGGCACGCCAGAAACTAGTTTCTTTACCTTCAATTATGTTCAATAATTGTTAAAATGACTAAAAAAGTTAATATTAAACTTTTAAAATTATTGAATAGTATAAACTTCTTGATATTTACTAAAATAGTAAGGAATTTAAGCCCTAGAACCGATTAATGTATTGGCGGACTGATACTAAAGCTGGTTGCCCGGCCAGTGCAAGCGAAAACATGTTGAGGTCGGTTCGTAAGAAATTCGTTAACCGAATTTTTGTTCGTTAACCGAATTGAAGATCCTTATGGAAGGCAGTTCGTTAACCGAAATTTCGTTAACCAAGGCGTTCGTTAAATGAGGGGTCACTGTACGATGATTCACCTAACACTGCAATATTGGAGGACACATTACCATCGTTCTTCAAGGCTTTACTGTACACATTTCCTTGCACACGAGTAAAAATGTACCCCCCCCCCCAGTCAGCAAATGTTATTTGCGAACTTGGCTATTCGCAGCCATTTTGAGAACCTAATCCTCATGAATTTTAAGGGCATGCTGTATGCACAGCCAACAATATTCACACAAACATGCAAACTAAGGGATGGTTGTGTGACAGGATTTAAATGTCTGCACACTGATAACTTTCCTCAATCAAGGTAAAAGACCAGACTGAATGTGAATAAAATCATCCTGCAGGATGGTTGCATCATGGAAAAGTACTATATGGTATTGTTCTCAGTCGGCTCTGATGGTTACCATGTTACTATTTGTTAAAATCCCAATGATTTCTAAAATTTGGTAGATACTGGCTACACTGGAATGATACATCACTAGAAATGATGTGGAGTTAACATTAACAAAAAGAAAGACTAAGATTTGCATTGATAAAAGTACTGTCCTAGGTATACAAAAAGTAGGACTAAATTATGCAAATTGGTACCATAGTAAGCCCACACAAAGAGAAACTGCATGTTCCAACATGCTGACCACTTGGATTGTGTGGGTTGATTTCATACAAATTTCAAATAATTCGTATAATTTGCCAAAAAGTGTTTGAAATTTTCATATCTTTTACCCACTCGAAAAATGTTGAAGTTAGCCGATACTGTACAAGGGGTACTTGAAATTAGCGAGGCTTTAATGTACAGTACTGTACTGACATACAGTATTGGTTTCTGGGTTAAAGCTGGATAGCCTTTGTACAATATAGTATAATAATTTTTACTTATCAACAACAAACATAATCACTTGATTTTTTAAAAACTCACCAAGTGATGATGGTTTCAGCAATTCTCCCTGGATGTCGTAGAATGGCAACTTCTTTAATTTGACATCTGGATTAATCGGGTATGATGAGTTGTGACTATTACTGGTTAATGTGGAATAGCCCACAGCTGTAGATATTCCTGTAGGTGCCACCTGTGATGAACTTGTGGAATATCTGGAACTGTTGTGTGTTGAATTTACCCCACCAATGCTTCCCACACCTCCAGATTGAGTGTAACTTGCAATGGTGTTGAGGCCCATAGGAACTTTCTGGGCTGGATGGATTCCTGTTGGTCCACTGGCTGCTGCTTGTGACCTGTCACCAAACGACATCATCTCTAGTCTAAATAAAGAAAAACACAAGAGACTAAACATTAGCTTGTGTTATTTTCCCAAAGCCAAAGAAATAAAAAAAATATGTCTGAGTCTCCAAACTGGAAAAGGATTGCAACCTGCTAAATATGACAGAAGTTCAAAAATTACTGCTACAATCTGAAAGGACAACTTTCCGATATGCAAGTAACCAACTACATACGTACTGTATCCACTAGTACTCTGTGCACTTATCCTTGTAACTGAATTCATACTCATTCATCATTCATATTACAGCTACTCAAACTAGATGTACAATCTATGGATTACATGTAGGATTGAAGAGTTAATATCCATTTTATGGCCAGGGGGTCAAGATAAGTGACCTGCAAGACATACCACCACTAAACACCTCATTGTAAAGCCTGCCACTGCCAGTGGTCATGTATTTTTTGGTAGAACACATTAACCATGCTGACAACATTCTTGCTGCAAACAGTTCCTCGACAATTTAAATTATGTTTCTAAAACTCTGACATGGTAACTGTTTCAAATGGCCAGTTAGGCATCAATGACAGGAGCCAAAACTCTCAATCAGGTGTACATATTCTGAATCACTTGAATATAAAATGGGTTCACAACAAGACCAACTCAGTTATGCTGACTCATAACATTGCATTAAGGGAAGAGGGAGGGAATCCAGGAGGCTCACCTAATCTCTTAACGATAAAAAAGTGATTTTTCACTTGAATCATTCATTTATGAGGAACCCACAAAAATTTTAATTGTCTTAGAAATCAGAGCAGAACATCTATACGTATATACAAGAGGGCCCTACTTAACTAGTAACTAATTAGCAATAATATGAATTAACAATCTCAGTGTTTCAATATATGAAAATTCAAGTGATAAACTTTTATTCGGTTTAGCAGGAAAATTTAACTGAAAACTGCTCAGGTGTCTGCTTGGACACTCAGCAAGATATTGCCTCCCCGTCAAAAATATCAAGTTGGTATTTCAGTAAACCCAACGAAGAAGTGGCAGAGGAAGAATTTCATTCTGAGGTATTCAGAAAGGTGGCAATGTTGGATTATATTGCCAAGACCAACAATACAAACATGTGCAATGCCTAGTACAGTACTCTAAATTACTAAGTTATGTAAGGAGCATGAAAAAAATTATGCCAAAATACAGAAGTCCTGCACACATTATTTTTAATCTGTAGTGCTGTTACATAAAATATTTGTACATCTGTAGTTGTTTTCTATCAATCGTTAATACTTTCATATCTTGAATAGCATTTATTTTTGTGTAACCCCTTTTATGGTTAAAATGGTTTGTGACATGTGAGAAAGTTTTGACCTGAATGCCTCTCTGGTCACAAAAACTAAAACCAGATCAGAGATTCAGAACTCAGATTTCACACAGTGAGGTACTGGATGCAGCAAGAACATCGTTCATGTGGGAAAGGCACCCTACCACTTTAATACAAGCCCACTGGCAATGGCAGGCTTTAGTGAGAGATGTGTAGTTGTAGTAAATCTCACAGGTCACTCATGTGGACCCATAAGCCATAAAAGTGCATACAGTAGTGTATACTGTTCTCAAAATTTTCATGTCACTCAAAATGTAACTACCTGTATATGAAATTATTGTACTGACCAATAAAGAGGTAGTGTCTGGTGTCATACTCCAAAAATGAATTTACATAGCCAGAATACATATTCTTTTTCTCTCCCACTTTTAATCAAGTTGTCCAAAGGTTAATGTCACAAGGGATCCATGGACTTCTCCAAGTTTTGCATGCACTGAGGTTAAAATTGTTACACACAGCAAAGAAAATTGGGGCACCCAGCAACCACTAAACAAAATTATTAATGGGCCTTATAGTTATGCATCCAGTCAGCCTACAAGTCCCCAGGCTACAGCCATGCCAACAATAATGTAAATAATGCACTGATACAGACAGGTGAAAAGAAAGAAAGAAAGAAAGAAAGAAAGTGAGCAAGTGTTATAAAAGAATCCTCTGAGGCTGCTCCCACCATGTTCTGCATCATTCGATCTAGTACAGTACTGTACTGTACAGCACTCTTAAATTTTTTTGTTCACTAAATATATACATAGAGCTGGACTAAATTGACATACTGTACTGTAATCACACCTTAAGAAAATTATTCAAAGTTATATTGAAGTTAACAGGGATAAAATTTAATCTTAACACTCGCTGTCCCATAACCCAAGTGTGGGCTAAATTAGCTTGCCCAATTAAATTGGATTTTTTACATGATATTTTACAAAATAATGACAGTTGACACTTATAGAAATTTGTTCAGTCATACAAAGTTTTGTATCTTTCTTTTGGTCATAAAATTTGAATTATTCTGAAATTATTTTTACCTTGATTAAATAATTAGATATACAGGGGGTCCCAGACTTATGAACGCCCACCGATACGAACGAGGTCGAACTATAAATTTACAGTATTTTATTTTTCCGGTGACTTATTCTTTACTTTAATTTACTGTATTTTGTCATTTTATTTCTTCTTTTCTCTTAAATTATGTGATTTTAGATGTATATAAGAACTTAGGCTTTGATATATTTGGATTTTAAACACTGTTCGTGCCCGGGAACCCCCTGTACACATTATATAGTCTGTGTTCCATTTTTTTTATCCAGTTTCACCATAATTCTCATTTACTTAAATTTCATTTGGAGTCAATTTAAGAAAATATTATCATAAAATAATCTATTTTCCTGAGGGGAAAAAAGTTATTGCATTGTATTTAATTCCCGGTGCTTTTTTACAAAGCTGACCAACTGACAGTACGCTTCATCAGCCTCCCTCCAAGCAGTGTTGCCAATTCTCTCATTCTGTCATTGCTCAAGAGGGATGGTGCTTACTACAACTGTCTTCAACACTTTGTGTATATGGCAGATTATTTATCAGCAGTAAATAAATAATATTATAGTGTATTTATACATTAATCAGTTATATCTAAATGTAACAAGTAACCATATAATGCCATCATATATCACTCAATGTTAACAACAATTGTTGTTAAGAATGTATCTCTATATCAAATACAATACTGTACAGTACAGTATGTTATAATGACCCCATTGTAAGCTGATGTGCTGAGATTTTAAGGGGTATAACTGTATTGTACATGTTGAAATGTATATACTCCTAATCACATTAATTCTAATGGGGAAAATTCCTCATAATAAAATGTTTCATTATGTCGCTTTTCTTTAGAAAACATCCTCCACGTATAATACCCACCGAGTACTGGGTAGGATTTCTTCTTATCTCCTGTCTGTAAATGTGTTGATTTGTACCAAACCTAACAAGTGGCCTTTTAATTCTCCCACACTTTGCATAAAGACTTCTATGAGTTATAGGCATTTTTTCACATATTTTCAAAAAAGAAAAAATCTTTACTTGGCTTGTTTTTAACTTAAACAAGTTGAGCCAAATCTTAGGTACAATTTTTTTTTTTTTTTTAAGCAATTTCAAATTGTGACACTGAACTCTTGCTAATTCTATATCATTGGAGTTCTTAGCTCAATTGAATCAGTCCAAAATATTGAAATGACTTTTAAGAGAAAAAAAGAATAAGAAATAAAAAATAATTGCAATGTTTAGAATTTTTAAATACTGTAATGTACATATATGCAGTATACCATAGTGGCATAATAAAAACACTTTAAGCCACCTCACATATAGTGTACTGTAAATAGTACAACATAGTACATATGAGCAGTACATATACACAGATATCCCTTGTTATTCATGTGGGATGGGTTCCAAAAATATCACAAATAATAAAATTTGCAAACCCCATAGAACTACCCTTTGAATGTCTAAATAACATTGTAATACAAAATGATCTTCATAACAACACGAAAGACTCAAATAATAAAAAATATATATAAAATAATACAATTCAGTAGCTACAGTAATAAATAATAATCTACCATGTAGATGAATTTACCTAAAATTATGATGATGATAAGTTGGAGGATGCAGTAATGATGATTTAATCTTGGCAAACTGTCTAAATTATCATTACATATTATGGGTGTGTTTGGTGAAACACTAAAAGTTTCCTAAAAAATATAAATGCTTTTCATAATCTAAAATATGCAAGAAAAAAATTCAGATCACACACTCGACTACAAATGTGACGATTTGCATAGAGATAAATGTAGAAAGAGTAGTATACTGTATACAGTACAGCACACGTGAGTACAGTAAGATCTCATATTTTGCGCGATTTCATTTCGCGAGCACTACCTAATTTAACCAAGTCTTATATATGGCGTAAAATATCATGAATTTCGCGAGATCCAGCAAGCTGAATGCTGGCCACCGTCTTGAATGACGTCAGAGCCCTCATACCAGTTACAGTCATTTCTGCTACAACGCGTGTTTTGTCAACGCGAATTGGTTGTAACGCAATAGATGAACAGGGGAATGCCGTTTGTAAAACGCGAACTTTTGCATACAAATGTTGGCTATAGCACGATTCCATCCTCAACGTTTTAAGCGTGGCGCTGGGTTATGCAATGTTTACAGTTCACGTTCGCCATCACATAATTGATTCGTGTTTTTTGAAAGGTACTCTAATATTTTTTTTTTTTTTGCAAATTTAGCTGTTACCCATAAATACTGTATGAAGAGATTAAGTAAAAAGAATGTTTCACAGTGAGGACTAATAATGATTTGCACCAGCGCTCTTTGTTTACATCACGTGATCAGTTAAATCGCGCGGTTTCTGTTGATTGCTCCGTGATTTTAACTTTTTTCTCCAATTTTGTTGTTAGCGATGTATGGAAAGACAAGGTAAGAATAATGTTTCCAAGAAGCGTCCTGATGATCGAATTGCCGGTGGTGAACGTAAAAGAGGTTTAAAAGAACGCGACTATCACGTTGTAGCTCGCACCATCCTAGCAACCGCCCGGGCTGCTATTGTGTGCTTTTTTGGGTGGTGCTATCTCCTGTCGAGTCAAAATAATGGCCTCTACCTCTACTGGGGGTCCTACTGGTGCTGGTGGGGGTGGGACAGACCCACCTAAGCAGCCAAATAAGGAAAAGGAGAAGCGGGACAATCAAAAGGGAGTTAGTTTGCCAAGTACTCGATGCAGGATAAGCAGCGTGTGATCAAGTTACTTGAGGAAGGCCTAAAAACTAGTTTCCAGAAAGCACAATCAGGTCAATAAAGGCAAAATTTGTATCATTTGAAGGTTATATTGGGAAAATCAGAGGTTGATGTAGAGTGGCCAGTCTAAACAGTATTATTATTTTTCCCATTAGTTTGTGCATTTGCATTTGGCGAATTTGAATTTAGCGCAATTTTTCCAGTCTATATTACTCACGAAATACTGTACAAGATCTTACTGTACAATACTGTATCAGGAATCCAAAAATAAATTTTTGGAAGTACGTAATCCAATTTTCCGAAGTACAGTACAGTGCAGAACCGTAAAAAAAAATCAAAATTCTTTCCAAATCGCATCACTTATCCCAGCCTCGGTTGGTCAGCTGATAGCACTCCATCTCCTACAGTGCAAGAATACTCCAGATGTCCTTTTAGGTTTTCTGAGTACTGGCCAGTATCATCTGTAAATTTGTGGATTCTAACCAGGTGTGCTGCCCTTAAATTTTTTTAAACAAATGCAAGCAATGGTACTGAATGTAGCAACATAGTGCAAAATGATAAGGACTTTTTATCCTCTGCATACTGTACACCTGCAAACTGACTCATCCCTCCACTGATTCCTCCTACCCACTCAATTTTTTTAACATAACTCCAAGTTAATTAGTATTATATTGTATGTGAATAAAAAAGAATGAATACTTTTTTTTCATAACACTTAATAGCAATTAAGGAAAAAAAATTTATCTCGGCACTTGGTGGACTTGGAATGTATGGTAGAGTGGGTGATGACTTGCTTACATTGGCCACTGCTCCCGGACAATTGTATTTACAGCATTTGGTGAGTAGCGTAGAGGCAGTCCTCAAGTTCCAAACAGGGTATGTTCCTGAACCCTGTTTGTAAATCAAACTGTTTCTAAGTTGGAATGATGTTAATTTCATACAGTAGTTAAGATTAGGTTAAAGCACAACCCAGCCCATACAAAACAACAATGATACAGGTATCCTTTGTTTAACAATGGGGTTAGATTCCTGAAAAATCCAATTTTAAGCGACATTATCACTAAATGAGGGCAAACAATCGGTTCAAATGGCAGTGAACCAAACATTGAGGACAGTACTGTACTCCCTAATATGTGAGTTTGTAATACACAGTTTCAAAGTTAAACAATTTAGTTATTATCACCAAACTTCTATATAAATGATGTGGTTCTAAGTTAAATACTTTACTGTAGTAGGCAAAGGGTTATCCTAATTCGAACAATTTTAAAATTTCATGTAAAAAATTAACAAAAACTGTGATGACAAACAATAAAATTGAGACATAGCATATCATAAAATAGATTAGCAGATATTTTATGTACCCAAAAAATAAGTTCCTTCCACATTCACTCCATCCTCTGGGCGACGCGACACAGTTCAACTAGGCATTCACCCAGCTGACTAAAGAGACATGTGTGTGGCTGCTGCACTGCGTGTATGCTGTGATGTCACATTGGAGGAGGTAGCACAGCTGGATTTGCGACGCAGTTACAGCCCAGTGACTCCACACATACATTAATTTCATACACACACATACACATCTATGCTCTTCATTTTTCTTATTTAATAATTTCATATTATACTGTATCCTTTATTTCTAGGCCACATTAAAATATTATAATGTTATTCCACAACATTTATAGTTTCATTACATATAGCAAAGACAACATACCATCTCACAGACCATCTCATCCCCAGGTTCCCCCCTTCCCACTGAGTCAAGCTATTGCAAAACTGAATTTTGACCTAGTGTTAAGCGAGAGAGGGTGTCAATATTTTTTTATCGCTAAACCGAATTGACGTTAAGTGAATTAATGCTAAACGAGGGATACCTATATCCCATACACAACAAAAAATGTAATGTAAATAAAGTGATGTTAAACAATATAGAATAATGAAAGTAATGTAAAACATGGGATTTTTAGTTACAGATTTGTGTGATGAATATATTGGGATCCCGTTCGTAAGTGCGGGTGTTCGTAAGTCGGGTGTTCATAACTCAGGGACTGCCTGTATTTAAAGAGGAAATACTAAATATTAATCTTTTATCCTGAGGTAAAACATATCTAAAAATTTTACTGTGCAACTATTTGCATTTACACACGTATTCTTGCACATTCAAAACCATCCATACTTTGTTGTGCCCATTTGTGGTTACCAATCATTTCTGGTTGGAGCAGATAAGTGGGCCCGAGGTCTTACCAAATCAGACATGAGAACTGTCTATTCAAACAAGAGATCCAAGAAATGGAAAACAATTTCTATGGAAGTGAAAGTTGATGTAATTAAACATTATGAAAAAGGCAAAACACCCCCAGTCATTGGTAAAGAGTTGAGCTTCAGTCGGTCAACAGTCGAAACAATTTTGAAAGACAATCAGAAAATCTGAATATGTAAAAGGATCTACACCAATGCACTCAAATATGAAAACAAAAAAGTGGATTGTTAATTGAAATGGAATGACTGTTAGTAATTTGGGTGAAAGATCAAAATCAATGACGGCTGCCTTTAAGTCTAGCCATGATTCAAGAAAAAGCGAGAAGCTTACACGCTTACTTGAAGGCTAAATATGGTGGTGAAAGTGACGGGGAAGATTTTGTTGCTAGTAAGGGCTGGTTTAACCGATTCAAGGTAAAGGCAAATGGTGTTTGGAAAAACACTGCCCACAGTTTGCCCACAATTACAGGGGCTTTGAAAATGATGTTGGGGAAGTGACACATACAGTGGTAGACCTTGGGAATCAACTCCAGCTTGATATTCATCAGGATGATGTCACAGAGTTAATTGAGTCTCATGCTAAAGAATTAAGCAATGGGGACCTGATTGAACTGGAGAAGCAAATTTTGTCAGAAAATGTAGAGGAATCTGAAACTCCAGAAACAAAGGGATTCATTACAAAAGAAATGGCTGATGGTTTCAGGCTTATTGAAGGATTGTTTAAATTTCAACAGCAAGACACCAACACAGCAAGATTCACCACTATTCATAGAGGTATTACTGAACATCTACAATGCTACAGAGAGATTTTTGATGAAAAGAAGAAACTTTCAGTTCAACAACTTGTAATCAATCAGTGTTCACTCACAGCCAATCTTACCCTTTTGCACTATTACTTGTTAAATTGCCCTGTAGTATAACTTTCTCCCCGCCTAGTTATTATATATCATATTTGTATCAATTATGTTAGTTATATATTATTTGTCAATCAAGTTATGCATTCCCCAATTAAGTGACTATATTTTCAGCTTTCTGGCTGCCATACTCTTTCAATTAACTGTTAATTATTATTAACATTATTACTATTACAATTTATAATGGACCTTGGCATTATCAGACACTCTGACCCATTCAGACTATGTTCATATATTACAGATTCAGGTCCATTAAAGTAAAAAATAAGACTCCATGTCCATTACGGAAAAACAATTAAGGACTCAGGTCCATTCATATCCAAACTATCACAAATAATTACAGTAAATTCCAGTTTAACACTACACTGCATAACACTGATTCATTATAGATGTCCTTAGTTCTCTCTTGGAGTTACAGTATTTTTTTACAAGAAAACAACCAAAAACTTTCTGAAAATACAAAGAAGTTACAAGATAAAACACTCAGGACCTTCCGTCAGTTTTTATTGCGGACTCAGACTTTCTGCTTTAACGGCCTGGCCTTCCCCCAATTAGTCCATTATGGTTTACTGTATAAAGAAGTTCAGTATAGAGGTAATAATGTATTCATTTTTCTGCCTTACTATATGTACATTGACATTTGCAATAACGTTTGAGTGCGTCCCACACTAGTGACCGATGATAGGTCATGCTTTACAAAGTAAAATTTTTAGAATTTTATTAAATAAACAGTACAGTATAAGGGTTCCTGGATTATACAAATATACTGTATACAGTAGGGTCGTGATGTTTCGCAAATTGATACACCGCATTTGATTTATCACGTGTAACTACTTTACTCCCATTATTTTTCACTTTCATGGGTCAGTGCAATACATCATGAGTTATACTTTCCCCTGCCATATGTCTCAACACACCATCGAGCACCCGTCTTCTGCCACGCAAGCATCCTCTCAGTTACTCGCTAGCTTCCCTATTGTGTATACGTGTATATCAACGCTCGTGTTTTAGACTTTATCTAAGTGTCGGTGTGTTGTATACACAATTTTACAATGTACTGTACTGTACTGATGATGATAATGTGAGTACTGTATTAACGTCCATAAGGCAGACACCCAACTCTTCAGAGGTAGCTAAGCAGTAACCATTTCTAAACTCTTACAAGCATTACTACATGGTACAGTATCTATTAATGTTATACCTACAACATTTATTTTTAAATCTACAAATACCTGATACAAATGAAGCTTCATAGATACAGGCAACTTTTGTTTCATATTTGCATCTGTGAACATCACTGGTGGTATTGTAGCCAAGTTAGACTCATCACTGTAACCACCAGGTTACTGGGCCAAGCAGTGAGGTGTTATGGTTGTTTTTCAACTCGTGTTTTTGGGTAGAGATACAGTACAGGTACACCACTGATTTTCCGGGAATGGATGGTCCGGCACCTCTTTTAATCCGGCCAAAATTCCCACGACCTCCAGATTAGTTTACTGGGCTGCCACAGATGGCGTTACGTGTTAACCGCGTTCACTTTGTTTGTTTACCCTGAAGTTGCCGGTGGTAGCCCCTTGATTTTGTGTGATTCTTAGCTTATTTTGCACATATTTAACCCCAGTTATGGCTTCAAAGGCAAGTACAAGTATCAGTGGTGGTGTAAAGCGTAAACACCAGTCCATAACGATACAAGATAAGGTTGAACCCTTGAGAAAACTTGACCGTGTTTCAGTGCGACAGGTATGTGATCAGTATGGTATTGGTTCGTCAACTGTGTATGACAGTGGTTCCCAACTTTTTTTGGTTGCAACCCTAAATTTCCCAACAATAGGGTGTCCTGACCCTCAGGCATATAACATATTATATAGCTTGAATGTTAAGCAAAAATTTGTTTATGACTTTATGATAAGTACAGTACTATATTTTTACAATTGTCTGAGGGCCCTCGCGACCCTACTGAGGACACCCCGCAAACCTGATTTGGGTCGAGACCTGAGGTTGGGAACCGCTGGTGTATGATAATGAAGCAAAGAGAAAAAGTAATGAGATTCTTTGCAGAAAGAGATCTTCAGTATTTGTAAAACTCTACAAATTGCCATTCTGGGAGCTGCAATACTGCAACATTCTTTGTAAGTAATTAATAAACCTGCATCATTTATACAGCCTGTATTTCATTTAATCATTTAACTTAAATTTAATATTTGTTTAATTTAAGTTTCTAGCAGCCATGGTGCTTTAAAGATACCGGGAGGTGTATAACTAGTGGGTTCAGAGGTGTATTGCTCAATTCTTATATATGACCTCTGTTAATCCAGCAAAACAGATGGTCCGGCAAGGCTCAGGAACCAAAGGTGCCGGAAAATTGGTGGTGTACCTGTACATAACCCTTAAGCACTGAGTTAGGGTGCTGCTGTCAGTTCCTTCCCCTCGGGATAAATCGATAAAAATCAACTTTTCCAAAAATAAAAAAAGTGGCTGGAATAGGCGGACATTCTGGAACATCACCCGGGACGCACTGGTTGGACGTTCTGGAATGTCACCTGGGGCCTAAGGGATAATTTTCTTCATTTATTTTTACTCCGTTAAATGCACACACCATCCTACATACATATTGTGAAAAAAATATATAAAAATAATTGTCAAAAGGGCAAACACATAAAGGGAATATACATTTCTTTGCACAAGAGTAAGTTGGCTCAGTGGGGAACAGGAGGAGGGCGCAGAGTGTGGGAGGGTGGAGCGTTGATAAGGAGTCGGTGGAGGGAATATCCCTGGTGGTCTGCATCGCTATGGCAAAGCAGGGAGTGTATGCAAATGGCAATTGTGTTAACCTTTCATTTGGCTTTTATTTACTGGTTTGGCAATACAGTATATTTTTGTGTAAATTATTTATTAGCTGTGCATCTAATATGCTGTAAAATATGGTATGTAGTATGCATTGGAAGGAAAAAATATTAATCCTTAGGCCGCGGGTGACATTCCAGAACGTCCGGCTAGCGTGCCACAGGTGATGTTCCAGAATGTCCAACTTGTGTGCCCCAGGCGACGTTCCAGAACGTCCGCCTATTTTTTTTTTATTATTATTTTTGGAAAAATTGATTTTTTTATTCTTGATTTATTCACGTGCAGGTGTGTGTGTGTGTGTGTACTGCTTTAGGGCTAAAGTAACTTATTTTCTGTCATTCGTACAGACTTGTACAAGTTCAGTGTCAGGTGAATAAAATAAAAATTATGAATGGTGTCTAGTGAAAAAGTAAAAAAACAAAGCTAATTCTATTTTGTCGAATTCATACAGACTTCCAGCACAGTTGGAAAGGGTCACCATATATATATATATACATAACCCTGAAAACCGACGTCCCATTAACCGCTGACTCATATGACCAATGATTGTAAGTTTCATTAATACCCCAGAGATCTAACAGTCAGGAAAAGAGCGGACGAGCTGTTTTTAATTTAGCAGGCGGTGGCGTGGTGCAAATTCTTGTCATGAGAGGGCTCTGCATGCTGCTTCCAAATCATTCCCGACTCTCTACACTTGTTTACACTTACGATGTGTCTCCGACTTTGTGTCTTTTCATTATTTCCGACTTCATGTGCTAGACAATCATGCCTAAATGCCCCAGTGATAGTTTCTCTTGCAAGGGGCAGCTTGATGTGATGTATTAAGGTGAAATAAGAGTGGTGAAAATTCCAAAAGCCTCTTGGTCCCACACATTTTGGATTCCTGATACTCAAGTGTAAATGTACTGTACACAATTATTTCTTCCGAAAATGCCCCAAATAATGCATAATGAATACAATAATGACCAGCTAGTGCTTTGCCAAGTATACCCTTTATCAAAAAAATTTAAAGAGCATAACTTTAGGAGGTGAAGT